AAAAAGAATTTCTGCTAACATTTAAATAGAAGACTTCATAAGTACATACAATCTCCATTTTCTACTTCTCTTGAAAATGTAGAGGACCTAGTAACATGGATTCAGCCTCCTTGCGAGGCTGAAGAGCTGCTGTCTATTTCCGACAGGGTGTGCCCCTCCTGCTCACTTCAACCCCCCCCCCAGCCCCCCGGCTCTGGCTTCGTTCATCTGGGTTTGCAACCTCTTGCCTGAATTCACTAGAAAACTCACAAATATCCAGGTATCGTGCTGCTATCAGCGCTCAGAAGGACACTTCCTTGGGAAAGCCCAGGGCCACTTTGGACGCAATCTCAGCATTGCATGTGGCCTCCGAACCCCCTCAACATCAGTCTCATTCTCTTAGTTACACAGCCAGGGCTAATGGTCTTGCGTGTCTTTGGGTAGACGTGAAAATGCTCTGAAATACGCAGGGAGAAACCAACAGCTCAGGGACGAGGCAGAGCTGTGGAGCACCGTTCGTGCATGCTCTGCTCCAACTGGAACGGAGGTTCGGGACTTGACACACGGTCTCCGACCTCCCTGCCACAGCCTGTTCGCCGTGTGCTAGGAGATGCTGCGCTTAATACAGCTCCCGGTTCTCAGGGGCTCCTCAGAGCTCTCCAAGCGGGCCTAACGTGCAGAATTTCAAATGAAGAACCAACAGCAGAAAGATCATTTATAGTAACTCTACAAACAAGCTAAATGAAAGACTTGTGTTCAGTCATTAAAAATAATAATGCTAAAGCCCCGAGGGCTGAAATGTAAAGCTTAGATGTCGTGTGAGGAAACAGAAAAAAAGAGTGTGTTTATTATCCCAATAAGATAACCTGCTAATTTATTTAGTAGGCAATTTTAGAGTATGTTCGTTCACAGTGAAATCTCACTTTATCAGATTATATGAACAATACCAACCACAAATAAAAGGCTCATTGAAGCCCCGGGCCTTCCGGGGGCCGCCGTCACCCGGCCCAGGCCCAGAGTTGGTTATAGAGTTATCTCTCTCGCACTTTGCAGATGATGCCTAACATCATGACAACAGAGAAGAGGAAAGGTCTCCGGACCTGCCTCCCTACAACAAGTTTCTGTAAAGTAATGAATACAGACAGCTTGGGGACCATCCACCCGTGCTGCGTGCCTCTTCCTGCCTGCAAAGTGAAACCACCAGGGATTGGCAGAAGGTACTTGTCTGACAGGGCCGGGACAGCCTTTCTCCTCGGTGACAGCCTGGGCCTACCCTCTTCAGCCTGACCTGCCGTAGTTCCTTCACAAGGCAGCTGCCAGCAGCAGCTGCGGCTCCTCAGCGAGATGGATGGAATTTTCCTAACTAGTTCCCCAAGTTACATTTACCTTCAAGATAATTTATGAGCTGCTCTGGAGCCTTGAAGAGACAATATGCTTGCCATAAAATTAACTGTAACAGTCTTGTAGGTTATAATTAACACTGGGAGGGTAGCACCAACTGGATGAAACACATGGCGTAATTGATGGTGAAACTGGAAATGAAGCAAGCGAACAAAATCATTACTGCGCACACTGCCTTAGCAAAACCTCTGCTTTCCGAGGGTTAATTACAATCGCCTTCCAGGGCCCGTATTCCGGTAGGGAAGGGGCCAGAGCTGGGCAGGGAAGGCGGAGGTTTTGCTGGCCAGGCCACGGGGCACCGGGACGGATGTGGAGGCTGTCTACAGTCTGGGAAGAGAGGCATGCCGAACCGAGAGCCGTGCTGAGCATCTGGCAGCAAGCTTCCTGGCGCTAAGACCGAGCCCTACACAGGCCTGCCTCATAGACATGACTTCATTTTCTCGGTAAATAGCATTTTTTTTTTTCCAGTGAAGAAAAAGATATGGATAAAAAGAAGAGACTCGGAACTCCCAAAATGCCCTTCAAAAGGCTTACGATGTTTATTTAGAATACGACAGAACTCGAGCATTTCAACTTGACGTGGGCATGTCTTAGTGAAAAATGAAGATAAGTCCACTAAACCTAACGGTTTATTGAACTAAAAAGTACCCTGTCCAGAAGAGAGTATGGAGAGAAAGCTAATCAGAAAAGTGCCAATCATTCCCATCTTGGACAGAAACGCTAAACGATTCCTTTCGTGCACAGATACGAAGAGGCCTGATCGATACCCTGACAGCAGTGACTGTTCTAAACACACTGGAATCGCTCACATAATTTCAGTAAGTAATGTGAAGGCGATTGACCTATTTTTGGGTTTTGATTTGTTTGTTTTGTTTTCTGTCCTGAGACAAGAGGCGGAAACTCATTCTGATGTGTGATACAACAGTGTCCCCTACAGGCTGGAAGGACTGTTCCTCCCCCCGCCCCCCATTACTTCCTCAGCTGAATGCAGAGTCAAACTTTCATCTGTAACCTGGAATACACGTTAGGGCGTAAACTGGTAAAATGCCCTGCGGACATCCCAAGAGAGAGTAAGATCATGACTCTCCTTGCGTGGTACATGGTTTCCTGGATGGAAACACACCGTATAGCTGGTGACGGACCCATCATAGAGTAGAAGCTCTACTCTGTGCTCCCCGTTCACCTTAAGGGAACCCACTCAAATCAGCCTTGACTCACCAACCCGGCCTCAAATTACTCCACTTAGAGGATTTACAGATTCTTGGAGGCTAAACTTTGATATTCTCATCGGCGCCCCTACTCCCACTTTCTAAAAGATTGTAACCAATATAAAAGAAGGACATAGCTATAAAGGTAATAATGTTCCTTGAAGAGACGTAAGGCAGGGAGATTCATAAAGCATGGGCTGGAAATTACTTCTTTCTAGAGAGAGGGGCACCCACAACAAAAAAGTGCCAAACACGTTTAAGTGCCGGAGGAAATACACCTTTACAGATACACACGTGCCCCTCTCCACACGGGGTAGGATCCTGGAAGGACTGTGATCCCTGTATTGCGGGACCCACATCAAAGAACTACATGAACTATGAGTGGTTGTAAAGCCCTGTTGGCTGCTCCTACAGTGGCCTTCCGCCCGGGTCTGAGCTGCGCCGCAAAGGCTTGACTTCCACTCCCACCATTAGCTGTGTTGCCTTGGGCAAGTCACTCTGCATCTCTCTGCTTCTGTTTTCTTGCCTCCTAAACCATTTAAAACCCTGGAACCTAGTGAATCCCCAATAAATGTGAGCTGCTATTATTACTAAAATGAGCACAACTGCAGGTTTCAAGGACAGTGGAGGGAGAAGGGGTGAAGCCATCAGGAGGAACACCTACCCCACCTCCAGCTGCTCCCTGGGATCTAACTCACAGAGCCGCACCTTGTCCAGTGGGAAGGTGCCTTCCAGGTCACCTGGATGGAGCTGCTGCTCTTTTAGATGAAGTTGCTGGGACCCTGAGTGTCTGTGACAGGCCCCGAGTTAGTAGCCAGCTGGAGATAGGATTCAAACTGGAGTTCAGGCCTCTGTCAATTGTGTGTGACGGTGCTTAGCGCAGGACAAAATCCATCTAGTATGCATCCCTACGCCAATTCAGCAAGGTGGGGCCCCTACCACGAGGCTGGGGTTTTACGTGCGGGCATGCTCTCAAAGGATGAATGTGGCTGGGTTTATTCTTGACTTTTCTGTTTTGATCTAAAGGTGGTGGGCAATTTTTACTGAGCACCTAGTATGGTGCAGGTACTTGCTCTGGGGTGTTTTACATGGGATTTCTTCATCAGCCCTATGAAATATTATTTATCCCCTGCGCCAAGTTACAAATGAGAAAACGGAGCTTCAGAGGGGTTAGGTAACTTCCCTATAATTGCTTAGAGTTATAGACGTGTATTCTGCAATACAGTATAATAAATGCTGTGAAAGAGTTCAGGTCAGGATTCTGTGCAAAGAAAGTGGGAAGAGAGGGAGAACCCAGGCAACCCGCTCAGAATCTATGCTCCCAACCTCCATGCCATGTTAATGACATTTGCTCTGAAACAAAGCACCGCCCCCCCCCCCCATCTATCATTGAGAACTAGATCCCTCTGGAAAGCAGCCCAGATTTTATCCCATGACCCATAATCACATAGAGATTTCTCCCCTAGTTCTCACCCCTTCTGGAGACAAATCTCTCCCTACCCACTTGCAGCGGAGCAGTCTCCCCCAACAGTGGCTGGGCGTATAATGAGGGTCACACAAGAACACTCCAGGAGAGCCGGCCACTTTCTTCCCTTTCTTCCCACTTTCTTTGCACAGTATCCTGACTGAAACTCGTTCACAGCCTTAATTATACGGTATTGCATAATACATTTTCCCTAGTCAAGTGTTACTCATCTCTATAACCTCAAGGCCTGTGATAGTGTCTGCTACCAGCTAGGCACTCGATAGATATTTGCTGAGTCAATGCATGACTGACAGGTCACTCACGGTAACCATAACCACCGCTTATTAACGACTGGAGTGCGTTAACACGTGCAATCCCCCACCCACCTCAGAGATAGGCACAGCTTCTCTCTTAAGAGACACTTGTGAGTGTAACCTGGCCTGAATTTGAGCCTTCCCAAAGCGAAGACCTCTAAGGTGACACCTTTTCTGAAAAGTCACTGGGAACCAGAGTGCAGATTGTCTAAGGAGAAATGAATGCTGTGGGCACCCCCTCCCCAGCATGGCATTCCTTAGAAACTGGTATTCTGCGAATGGCTCACGCAAATATGACTCACCAGAACTAGGACAGCAAGTTTTATAACAAGTGATCGTTTTATGATGCAGGTCAGGAAAGAGAATGTTGTATCTCTCGACTGCAGGATCATATTTTGGTTCTACGGAGTGTCGTTGAATATGCAGGACACGGTAATTGACGTACACTTTTCGAAAGACATTTTCAGAGTCGCCCATAGGCACACAGCTGTCTGTCCTCCATGAGAGAGGCACTTTCATCGGTGTGCTTCCCTGGTGCATCCCCAGCACCCGGAACAGTGCCTGACAAACAGCAAGCCCTTAGTAAGTATTTGCTGAATAAATAAATGGATTCATCAATGCTTTTTCAAAAAGTTTAAGAAGCACTGCCTGTGAGAAATAGTCCGCAACCAATCACAGTCAGATTCTGCCAGGAGTGGAGCTCACACTGAAGCCTGTGTGTTGATTTTACAAATAAGATGTGCAGAAGTCAATTGGCTTTTGTCTCCCATAAAACTGCTCAAATAATGACAGTAACAATGGTAATAACATTAACAACACTGGCCTCCTTGAGATAAGTTGCTGTATCTCGGGAAAAAAAAAAAGGTAACCCTAGCTCTAGACTCATTTAATCCTTGCTCTAAATTTATACAATGTTTCAATTCCTACACATTTATGAGGAGGTTTTATGGAGTTACCAGGTTTTATGGAGTAATCTGGTTTGGACACACAAAGGACATTCTTCTGCTAAGGGCAGCAGAAAGCGGAGACTGCAATTATTAAAGGAGATGGGGCAGATGCATTAAAAAGGAGAGGCAGGGATGGCAACTGGCAGGCCAGTGCCTCCCTGTTTCTCCCAGGAAGCTCCTTCACTTATTCCTCCCCCAAGCCCGCAACCAAACTCAGCCAGTTGCAGTGGACAGCTACTGGACCCTGGACGCCGCAACTTCTAGCTCCAACTAACTCAGCCAGAAGGAGCAGCAGCCCCTCTCTCTAATGTGAGTGACAGCAGTTGCCATGGTCAGACGACTCCGTCACACGTTGTCTCAGAAGACAGTAACAACAGCCTCGTCATCCCCTAGCCCGTCGTCAGGGCTGGTGGTTCCACTTCGTGTGACCACAGTTCTCGAGGACGGCAAACAAGTTCTGGCCCAAATGTCAAGCCACCAAGGCTGATGCTCATCACTGCGCTGATACCAGGAAAGGCACATCAGGATATTAGCAGGTAACCAGCAGAAAGCAACTGCCTGGAGCAGGTAAAATGCAAACTGGAAGCCACATTTAAAAAAACAAAAAAATGTATTTATTTCAGAGAGACAGGGAGAGAGAGCACGCATGGGGGGGTGGGGAGGAGCAGAGGGAGAGGGAGAGAGAAACTCAAGCAGACTCCATACTGAGTGAAGAGCCCGATGCGAGGCTCAATCTCACGACCCATGAGATCATGAGCTGAGCTGAAACCAAGAGTAGGACAGTTTAACTGACTGCACCACCCAGGCGCCCCTGAGGTCACATTTACACTCAACTTGCCCCTCCTGGCCTAAAAATCATCCTCTTGTGCAGAGAAACTGTTCTAGGGAGGCCTCTCCCCTCCCCCCAGTTCTAGTTCACTTCCAGGAACGGCAAGGGATCGGGAACAGCTGCCTCAGGAGCAAGACCCTGTCTGTTTGTCCTGGTCCCAGCTCAATTCCATGGTGTTCGCTTCTGGGTTCTTCCTCAAGTACCCGAATCAGCCTGCACACACAGCGTCCTTCCTCGCTCAGGCCGGAAGCAGGAGTCAGGGTGCAGTCTTGGGACTTAGACACCAAAGAACTATATATCAGAGATCTCTCCTCACATCCAATCTGTAGGTTTCCACCTCTGGCACGAGGAGATGAATATGCACCCAAAAAAGCAACAGGCCGGCATCTCAAATGGCCATTCCTCTTCAAAATTAAGAAGGAACTCAGAGTACTTATGAATACAGGAATGGGTTGAGAGGAAAGCTAGTCTATTCAGCCAGCCACTGAATAAATCTGAGTGCCAGGCACTGTTCTAAATGCAGGGGTCTGTGGTAAACGGGCACCAGGGTCCCTGCCCATCCAGGGCACTCCTCCTTCTAACAGAGGAGTGATCTGGGCTGCAGGTTTTGCAGTTGGTGAACAGGCAAATCCCCCACCCTCACCAAGTTTACATTCTTGTAGGATCGACAAAAAAAAAATGTCAAAACGAAATCAAGTACATATATAATACATATCAGGTGATTCCTTTTTGTAAGCTCCTAGCAAACTGTAAGTTCCCTTGGGGCAGGCTCCAGGGCTAAGTCATCTTCCAGGTGCCTGCAGAAAAAGAATGGAAATCTGCAGACTAGCCACTGTGTTCCCATTACCCTGTCCTGCCCTCCCCTGCATTCAACGACACATTATTTGAAAACTGATACCGTACCATGCTCATCTTTATATTTCCCACAGCATTTAGCATAGTTGTTTGTAAATAACAAGCACTCAATAAATAATAGTTCATCGCTAAACTGGATTGGATCGACTTGTCAGTTTTGTACATAATTCAGGCCAGTCAGGAGGCAAAAAGGAGAGACCACACTTCCACAGAGAGAACCTTAATGTGCGAGTCTTAGAACCAGAGCGGATCCACAGAAGTAATTTCCACAAACTGCTTTACTTGCTGCACCCAGATCACAGTTCTGACGCTGATTTGCTTTAGAAAAGGTTGCAACAGCTAGATTTTGGAACCCTAATGAAGATGGATCCATCCAAAGTGGATCCAGTCCTAGAGGTAAACAGATGGTAAAGGTTATGGTGACTATGGTCAGTGATAAGATGGTCAATAATAAAATGGTTCTCTTGTCCAGAAAAAGGGCTAACTTGGCAGGTTTTTGAGCTGACAAAGCCCAATATGGGGAGGACATGCATATAAAGCCATCTAGATCTAGCGAGTTCATTTTAACTGGAAGCAAGTAGTTCCGAAAGTTTTTCTAAGGAACTGCCATAAACATTTTTTAAACTGTTCTCAGCACCATTTAAAGGCTCCTTGGACCCAAACGAAGTTGTCTGTTACGGGACTATTGAAAATCCTATTTGAGCCTAGAAGTGGAGAAGCTGTATGTAGACAGTGTTTCCATTTAATCAGTGACATTCCCATCCAGTGTGCAATGCTCAGAGACGCTGTAACGGAGGAGATGCATGAGAAGGGGAGAAGGAATGGGGAGGGGGTCTCCCAAAACAAATAAGCGGGGCCACCTGCAAATAAACAAAGGGCCGGGTCTACCCAGGGAGCAGGGAAATGGGCCCAGCTGTATTCTCATGACAACTTCATTTAAAGCTCCCTTCCCTCAATATGCCACATACCCCTAACAGGCCCGTGAGCTCCTTCCCACTTAAAGGGGTAAGTGCTTACATAGGCCATGTTTTTAAATCCCCTAATGAGAACCTAATGGTCTTAAATAAGCACACGAAAAGATGTTCAAGACATCATTCATCATCAGGGAAGTGCAAATCAAAACCACAGTAACAACCCTAGGATATCTATAATCCAAAAAACAAAGGAAAGTAAGCGGCGGTGAGGTTGTGGAGAATCTGCAAGCCTTGTGTATGACTGCTAGGAGCGTAAAAGGGGGCAGCGGATGTGGATAACAGTCCAGCAAGTCCTCAAGCGATGGTATGACTCAGCAAGTCCACTCCTGGGTTTACATTCAGAGGACCAGAAAACGTGCCACTCAAAAACTTGTATACAAATGTACACAGCAGGGTGATTCAGAATAGCCGAACAGCCCAAATGTCCGGCAGCCAGTGAATGGATAAACAAAACGTGATCTAGTCATACAGTGGAATGTTACTTGGCAATAAAAAGGAATGGAGTACTTATATAGGGCTACAACACAGATCAACCCTGAAAGCACCGTGTGAAGTAAAAGAAGCCAGATACAAAAAAGTCACACAGTGTAGGATTCCATTTACATGAAATGTTCAGAACAGGCGAATCCACAGAGACAGAAAGTAGGTTGGTGCTTGCCAGAGACCATGGGGAGAAGTGGGGGGGTATTGAGAGTGGCTGTTAACAGGTCTGGGGTTTCATTCTGGGGTAATGGAAATGTTCCGGAATTGGATAATGGTGATGGTTGCACAATCTTGTGAATATACTAAAAAAAGAGAAAAATCACTTAATTGTACATTTTTAAATGATTAATTTTATGTTACATGAAATTTTATATTTTGTGAATTAGTGAATTATATCTTGATTGGGAAAAAAAACCCGCTAATGGCCTGGCTTTCGTCTTTTTTGTATTTGCATCTTACTTAGCAAAAATTTAAAGGCACTGTTTCCAAGTTAAGCACCGTTCGTTCTACAAGTGCTCCTCAACTCCCCATGTTAGCCCCCACCTAGCTCTCGGTTCACTCTAACTCCCCCCAGGCAGACAAGGTCAAGTCAAAACACAAGATGAAACATACACTGACTTTAGATAATGTTTAGAAACTTTTTGTTTCTATTTTAAATATAACTACCGTCTGGGTGACACTTGTATATGTAGACAGTGTAGTTTACCATAAGAGGATTTTCAATAGTACAGCAATTCTAGTCTGCAAAGATGTCTACAGTGAAATACTCTCCTGAGTGGGTTGGAGCAACTTGCCACTCTGTTGTGGTTAATGATGGTTCCCCCGCCTTCCTTTCCACTGCCTTCATGGCCCCTTTCTGGGAACTTGCTAGAATCTCATCCCCAGATACATGCTTCAACTGGCTGCCGAACGCATTTTCTCACGCCCAGTCTCTCACGCAGTGTTTTGTGTGTGGTACGTGTACGAAACATACAAAAATGCTAATGGACTCAACTCATTGTTTCAGAGCACAGAGTCACAGGCTGTGCCCGCCGTCTCCCAAGGAGAAGTACGGAGCTTTGTGAAGCCCTATGTTGCTGGTCGGAAGCCAGGACACTCTATGTTCACAGGGAGCTGGGAGAGAGCTTTAAGTAGATTACTCTTATCAATTAACAGTACGTGAACAAGCAGCTTATGACCCGCCCACTATTGGCAAAAATTAACATCGCTATGATGGTTCTTGGAAAAAGGAATAAAGAAAGGAAAAAACCCATCTACTCAATTAACATTATGTGCTTTTGTCTTCCTTTTACAGACAAGAAATCGCGAAGTTGTGGTAAGAACAAAACAGTGTCTGGGAGTGACACGGATATTCAGTATCCAAACATGCGTAATGTTCGGTGGCCAGAGGCTGAAGTGGAACGCAATTTTTTTGTAGAGCATTTTCTCAAACGCTTGATTTACCTACATTCGCTCAACTGAGCGAGCAAGCTGAAAATAAAATATCTGACTCTCATTCCGATGTGTTCAAGGCAAAGGAAGCCCATTCCTTTCCTTCGGCTGGCTACGGATAATTATTCCACAACAGACATGCCCTCAAAATTCTCCACAATCGAGGAAAGGCGCTACGGATTTGCGGAAAATAAACCAAGGCGCCGATGTTTTGCTATTATTTTATTTAGGAAAAACAACTCGGGCAGGGACATGGAGCTGTACCTTTTCTTCAGCGCACTTTTCAAATGATAATTTCTTCCACTGTCACCATTAAATCTTAATCCATTCCAGCTCCTTGCATGGGTCATTGAGTCTATATGTACTGCTGTTATTTTAAAATGTTTCCCCTTGGTAGGGAGAGAGGGGGAGACAAGACGTTGAGAGCCAGATGGGCCTTCTTCACAGTTCATTTATCAGACCTAATACGCGGGGCTCCACCCTCTTCTCTCTCACTATTGCGGTTAAACCTCCATATAATTTGGTAATCATTTTCATTATCAGAGAGTGACCCTCACGCAGCCTCACCCGGGACACCCAGTCCCTGCAGCTGCTCTTTTTCTGCCTTTTCCTACAGTAGACCCTAAGAACCTCAGGGTTTATTAGCTACAGACTGACCTTTGGGCTGCGGAGGTCAAGAAGGGGTCAGATCAGAGGGCTTGCCCAGTTCTTTAAAAGCTATAACAAGCTGTCCATCAGGCAGAGTGGACTGTATAAACAAAGCCAAATCTTCAGAAATTCTGTACCACTTCTGTTAACACTTACCCTGCATTCACACAGCTTCTCCTGATGTACTTTGGATCATTCAGCTCGGGGGAAGTGAATAGACAGCCCTAATAAGCCTATTTGGAGAGCCTTGTTTCTGGGATTACCGAGCTTGGGGAAGGAAACCCACGGCATTCAGCTGTGCCTCTGGAATCGCAGGGCTGTGTGACACTGTGACAAACTCGGTTACCCCGAGTCAGGCAGAAGTGACACTTTCCTCAAAAAGCTAAATTACGGGGAACATATGCTTTCAGTTTAAGAGACTTCAGGGAGTCCCAAACAATGGCTCGGCTCTTGGCCTGAGAGAGAGACAAGTATTTTAAAACCCAGTTACAAGTTCGGCTTTAAAATATTCTCCCTAATATCATTACTGCAGGGGAGCCTGCGGGGCGGGGGCGGGGGCCCTTTATGACAATGGCCTCCCACGAAAGTCTCCGCTGACCTACATTTCTTGAAGTTGTACTATTCATAACGCATTCTCCAACATGCAATAGAAGGTAATTAGAGTCATCTGTATTTAACTTTCAGAGGAAAAAATTTCTATTATCTAATCTAACTGATCCCCTGATAGCTTTGATGAAAGTAAAATACTCTAACCTATTGCTTGGCCTTTGGCGAGCGCTAATTATTTTCTGTCAAAGCACATTTTTCCTCGTGTAATTCCAAAGTACACAATGGGCCAATCTCTAAAACACAGGCGGCTCGGGAAGCACGGTGGTGGATGTTTTATAACTTTCACCACCACCGGCCTGATGGCTACTCGGGCCAGTGCCCGGTTCCAGACGGTCAGGGGATGCTTTGATGAGGAAAAGAGAGGTGTATGGTAACAGTCTGTTTATACAGATCATATGGATGAGTCTTTTAGATAGGTCACTGGGATGGGAAACATCAAATGAGGGTGGAGAAGGGGTGGGGGGGAGGATTATGGTTATTTAATACTCTGAAGACACTTTTCCTTCTGAGCTCTCAAGACATGACCCTCTTGAAATTTGCTTTCAGGTGTTTAGTTTTAAAGGGGCCTGCAGAGTGTCAGCTGCTAAGCTCTTTCTTTTCTCCTCCCCTACCACAAAGGACTTGAGAATTTCTGTTTCAGATGCTAGACTCCATCAACTTCAACACTGGCTCCAGCTCCTGATTAAACTGTTAGCAGTAAGGGCCAGAAATGCTGAAACCAGACTTCCTTTAAACAGGCCATTTTGGGCATGTTGTCTGATGATTCGGTGTACTAGGAAATTATTGTTAACAAACCAAATGCACTCAACAGAAGACGTCCATCCTCAACATTTGGTCTCTGGGCTGTGCTGTCTTTGGAGGGATGGTGGGGTGGGGGTAGGAGGTGGTGGAAGAGAGATTACAGGGAAATTCCTTTCTTTCTCTCTTTCCTATTTAATAAGAATCACCGGGGGGGGGGGGGAGATATAAAAGGTTAAACGCAGAGAAACACATCTTAGATGTCCCCGCACGGATATTCCAGTATTTAGTAAAATATGCATACTTTAATGAATATATATGCTGAAATTGGAATACAAGAAAAGTTAAATTGGAGATTATTTAATTACTGTAGCTGAAACTGTCATTTACTCTGATCTGACTACACTACGAAAAAGAGGGGAAGGGGTGAGTATCAAGGTGAATTCTGAAATTATTCTTTTAATGCAAGTCTGAGTTTAGAGATAATACACATACCTGAGCAGCAGCTTTCCAACACCCAGTCGGAATGCACAGTTCATACTCTTAACTGTCTCCTTTCTTGGAAAATGCTCATCTTCAGCCTTGTTCAGACAAACCAATTTTCATGATAACTGTTACTAGTAAAGCCACCATTACAAACTCTGCTGCATGAACTCATTTGGAGAAATATTATGTCTATCAATGTTCTTGACTCCCAGGCACACAGGATTTTTTAAGCCTCAAATAAGACTCAGAGACAAAAATTCAGAATGATCTTCCTGATTCCTCTCCCTCTTGCTGAGAGACAGATGATAATTCAGCAGTTTTTACCAAGTGCAGATCTAAAGGGTAACCCTAACGTTTGGGGGAAGTAGTTTCTACCTTCCACCCATCAATTGTTTCTCAAATAAGAGCAGGATAACAGAATCTAGAGTACGCAAGCCTCAATTCTGCAAAAACTCATGATTTATAGAAACTTTCTACCAGTAACAGCTTTCTAACCACAGGTAAGTCCATAAGCAAAGAAACTAGATTGAAGCCAACATAATTCCTACTTGGCCAATTCTAAAACTGGGATTTGATAAATCGACCACTTTCAAGCAAACTGCCTCTCACTGACTGATGTAGGAGCACTGTGTGAATTTCCCAGACATCTGCCCTAACGAGGCAGCAATGTTAGTCTTTTAGAGCCGTGATTAAAAGGGTCCTTCGGCATCAGCTACTTCTATTCTGTTATGCTCAGGATGCAACCATTGATGCGAAACGTTACACTCGGGGATAAATCATATACACCTACAGATGACATCATGGCTCATTACAATTAATGTAGTAGGTACCGTGAGTAGGAGAGCTAACTTTGGCTGAGAGCATCTGTAACCTGCTGATTTTTCATGGCCCCTCCAATGAGAGGTGTAAGACCCATCGCGAGGAAGGGCTCAGCCAAATATGTCGCGGTGTTTTCAGGGACGACAAATCCCATTTCATCAGAGAACTGACCTGGCGTGCCACTCCCTCCTCAAGTTTTGACGTGTGGTGAGCAAGGCAAGGATGGCAGTCAGGATTTCAGTCCTTTGTTCCACGGGGACCCCCTCTCTTCTAACTTCACGAAGCACAGCATTTGTCTAGAAGGAATGGTCCAAAAAAAGAGAGAACAGGAAAAATTAATAATAAAAAAAGCCCATAAGCAAATAAGGACAGTAAATCAATGGCTTTTTTATTACAGTTCCCCTGCTAACAAATCAATACAGTAAATGATGGTCAAAAATGGCCAGCATATATTTTGTATTTAATCAATGTACAAGGCACATAAGGTAAACCCGAAAGCTCCATTGCCTTAAGTAACACATCGAGATACTGTGTGTTCTCACTCTAATTTCCTCAGTGCACCACCAGTCTTTTTCCTGGGAACTGCCTCCCATGAGCTATTATTAGAAATGATTTTCACGTATACCTCACTGTGAGTTGTTTGTTTTGCCTTTTAAAAAAGAGCAGTCTCTGACTTTCTCTCACTCTGTTTCCTGCCACCCAGCTGAGGATTTCTGCACTGCCTCTCCTGTTTGAATCATTAATTTCTATTTCCAGCCATGCAAGCAATTTTTTTTTTTTTTGGTTCACTCATTTTCCTTGCTTGTTGCAAATCAAAAGCTTGCAAAGAAAGAAACAATAAGAGTACTAAAATCAAATTCAGTCTCAATGAAGCCTTCTAGCTTTAAAAATCCACGACATTTCAAATGATATGTACAGGGATTCTTGTGCACAGCAGCCTTCCGATTTGAGGAAGAATCACTTACTCAAGGTCACGGGTACGGTCCTTAAGACAAATTAGGCTCACAGGTGAGTACAAAAACACTCCAGCTTCTACCGAGCATTGGAAAACGTCAGATGTTGCCTTTAGAAATAGTGGAAGCCCTACACATCATACCCCGCTCACCCTAACAAGGAGCATTACATCAAAACTCAAATCTGAAAGTGTCATTTCAATTTTATCTACAACTCACTCCTGTATGCTCGTTTTGCACACATGTGTTTTCAATGTGCAAATTCATGTAATGTAAGAAACAAGAAAACAATATAGAGGATTCTATTGGCACTTGTAATGTGAGCAAGCAAATGCCTTTCAAGTTTGAAGGCTAGAACTTTTCATCGCACGTATTTATCTTCATGTAACTGGAATAGAAATCTTGAGGATTTAGACATATTTTTCATTTAAAGTTGGTGTGGCTTCTTCAGAGAGGTGTTATACCCAAAGCAAATGCTAAAAGGAATGAACCTGTTACTTTCTTTGTACTGGTGCTTATTTGACTGATGCCACTGCCTTCATTCATTTAAAGAGCACACTCACCATTTTGTCCTCACGTAACTTGAAATACTACTTCCTTACTCCTCTATGGCATTTGGCAGTGTATACTGAATGCCTTCCATGACAGCCTTGAGAAGAGGTGTAGTGAACATCTGTTGTCTGGCTGCCTTCTATCCAGACCCCGTCCCCCTTTCCTGTAACAACATCAAACCTTCTCTTAGGGAAGTCTTTTATTGTATGCAGTCTTAGAGAGACTGCCAACTAAATAAAGTGTCCCGCTCTCTCCCATGAAGGATGTGGGCCAGGCCAACCTGATTCGCTCTTCCAGGACTTGAGACACTTAAGAAGAATGACAAAGAAAGGGAAAAATCTTGGAGGCCATTTATCAATTTCCTTGGTTCCTACCACCCATGGTCCTCAAAGTATTCCTGGTTTCCTGAACTTTCTGAGTAGAGATCATTCCTCTTCTTTGGATACCACGAAGTTATCCAATATCCTTTGAATCAAGTCCCATTTGGTTCGAATTCTGTTTCGAAACCAGAATCTGTTTCTGTTGCTTACAGTCAAAAACCCTAACTGATACAGAAAGATAAGATAGGAAATAGTATCTCCTTTGTTAAAGGATCCAAGATAATGTGACTAGCACTAGCCCAGAAAAGGACCCTGATCTCTGCCTCCTGGGTCCAGAATTACATCTACTAGACCAGGCCATATACCCAGTTGGACACTCTGAGCTTCAAGGACAATGATATTATTAGCCCTCTAGCACAGGGAGGAACGCTCATATTCTCTAGTTGCTTCTCCTGCATGAAGCCCAGGCTCCAAGTGGCTAAAGCAGGAGTTGCAAATGCAAATACCCACCAGAGCCAGAAAGGTAACATGAATGAGTTAAGCAAGATGACCTGATGAGAGCCTGTGCTCTGCGCAAAAAAGGCAGTCACTGTTCAGCAACAGCCAACTCTGCCATTCTGAAAAGCTGTCTCGGTGGTGCCGGATTCGTGAATTTTCAAAATAAACAAGAAATCTGTCTTGATTTTTTTTTTTACGTGAGATCTCCTGACTTGTACATGCTGGAAATTCATTTTTTTAAACTGTTAAAACACCACGCAGCCAAACAAGAAACGTCAGTGACTGAACAGAACTCAGGCAGCTGCTCACTGGTGACCTCTAATGTAAAAGATGTCTAATTTCGGAGAGGTGCCGGCATCAGTGGGTACTCTGGCCACAGCAGCGCCCCTTGTCTGTGATGCCCTACCTCAAGTACTTAAAGTTGGAAGGAACCTCAGAAAGTCTTGTGGTTTATCACTATGTCTATAGGTACATAGTATTTTACCAAAATAATAAGCAAAATGTTTCAAATAGAAAAGTACACATCCAAGAGGACTCCAAGGACATAAATAAAATAAATTCTCCTTGTGACTGTATTAAAATAACTTTTTAAAAGAAGTCATTTATCTCCTCTTTACCTTTTGCATCATTTAAGTTTTATCCAGAGGCCCTTGGTTTCCCTGATCAGCCTCTGAGAGGCGAAGGAGAAAGGATTTAAGAAAGCAAGTTTCACAGTGTCAGGGACCCTGTCTGTTTATTTCACTACTGCATCCCAGTGCTTGCCTAATGATTTTTTATAAATATTTGTCAAATCAGTAAATAAAGAAGGAACTTGAAAAACAAGTATTGCAAAAACTAAGAGCAACAGAAGACTGTCTTTTGAGACTTTACTATTAGATAAACTTGTAAACTCATACAATAAACTAAGAGACAGTTATGTGCTTTACCAAGGTGCTCTCTCCACTTGACAAAAGGCTTCACTTCGGGGCGCCTGGGTGGCTCAGTCGTTAAGCGTCTGCCTTCGGCTCGGGTCATGATCCCAGGGTCCTGGGATCGAGCCCTGAATCGGGGTCCCTGCTCCGCGGAAAGCCTGCTTCTCCCTCTCCCACTCCCCCTGCTTGTGTTCCCTCTCTCGCTGTCTCTCTCTCTGTCAAATAAATAAATAAAATCTTTAAAAAAAAAAAAAAAAAGGCTTCACTTCGAGGTCTATTTAAATAAATAGTCCCACTAGTGCAGAGTCTCCTGAACTTCAGTCATTCTAGCACAGTCTCAAAATTCTTGCCACGTTTGTGAATGAGGTATACAATATTTGATATTTTTATTTCAAATGACCCACATTTTAAAGTATAAAATAAATTAGCTTCAAAAGAAAATTGGAAAACCACTGGTACCTGTCTTAAACGAAAAGATAACTGCAAAGGGGCGCCTGGGTGGCTCAGTCGGTTAAGTGGCTGCCTTTGGCTCAGGTCATGATCCCAGGGCCCTGGGATCGAGCCCCACATCGGGCTCCCTGCTCAGCGAGGAGCCTGCTTCTCCCTCTCCCTCTGCTGCTCCCCCTACTTGTGCTCTCTCTCTCTCTGTCAAATAAATAAATAAAATCTTTTTTTTTTTAAAGATAACTGCAAAAATAATATATTAAAAACAAGGCTAGGGGCAGCTGGGGGGCTCAGTCGGTTAAGCGGCTGCCTTCGGCTCAGGTCAGGATCCCAGGGTCCTGGGATCGAGCCCCGCATTGGGCTCCCTGCTCAGCAGAGAGCATGCTTCTCCCTTTCCCGCTGCCTGCCGCTCTGCCTACTTGTGCTATCTCTCTGTCAAATAAATAAATTTTTTTTTAAGATTTTATTTATTTATTTGATGAGACACAGCCAGAGAGGGAACACAAGCAGGGGGAGTGGGAGAGGGAGAAGCAGGCTTCCCGCGGAGCAAGGAGCCCAATGTAGGACTCGATCCCAGGACTCTGGGATCATGACCTGAGCTGAAGGCAGACGCTTAACAACTGAGCCACCCAGGCACCCTTAAATAAATAAATTAAAAAAAAAAAAAGGCTATATGTTGATTTCATTCTAGATAGACGTTGCTTGCTGAAGGCTCTGGGACCGAAGCCTACTGTGTCGTTGTGAATGACGCCATTAACAAGTCTTGGTGAAAGTTAAAGACACGAAGACCTCCTTGACACAAAGATGGGGACTTAAAAGGAGCTGAAAAGGGGGTCCACTTTCTCAGCGTGATCCCCACTATCTGCGGAGTCCTGGAGCGCCACCTAGTGTTCCCGTGGTTAACACCCATGGTCCACATCCCAAGCTCTGGATGCACCACCTTACTACAATGATTTTCCAACACTTCACAGATAAACCTCTTTTTTCTCCAAATGTATTCTTACAGGGAACTCAATATATAAAACAAAACAAAACTGGAGCAGTTCTCTTTGAAGAAGCTGCTATGGAGGACCTAGAATCTCTCTTTGTCATGGGGCATCTCTTCAAAACCCCAAGGAACTGTGAAACACAATTTGCCAACCTCAACCCAAGAGCATTTAAAATAGCATTCAAAGTTTTTAGGGCACCTGGGTGGCTCAGTTGGTTAAGCGACTGCCTTCGGCTCAGGTCATGAGCCTGGAGTCCCAGGATCGAGTCCCACATCAGGCTCCCTGCTCAGCAGGGAGTCTGCTTCTCCCTCTGACCCTCTTCCCTCTCATGCTCTCTGTCTCTCATTCTCTCTCTGGCAAATAAAAAAAAAAAAAAAAAAAAGTTTTTAAAGTTTATACATTGTTGGTGGGAATGCAAAACACTGCCATTGTGGTAAGCAGTTTGGCAGTTTCTTACAAAGTTACACATACACACTTAACATATGACCCATCAATCCCATTTCTGGGGATTTAGCTAAAGAAATAGAAGCTTATATGCACACAAAAACTGGTACAAAAATGTTCATAGCGGCTTTACTCATAACTGCCCCAAACTGGAAACAACCTCAATGCCCTACAAAGGGTAAATG